ACAAGGCCTGCTAACTTGCAATAACAAAAATGCTCTCCTGGGCCTTCCAGTGGCACAGTGAATTGAGCACAGCACTGTGAAGCTGTCCGCAGCCTCTGCAGCACGGGTTCGATTCCCGGCCGGCCAGGGAGATTCCCACATGGCATGGCAGACCTCTCCTGTCTCCCCCACTACACCCCTCAGCTGTGTATTTCGGGCATTCTGCCTGTTCTGCTACCTACTGTGTCTCTGGTGAATCCTCTCATCCTCCCGCGCCTCTGGCCTGTTCCCCAGCTATTGTATAAATAAAAAATAAATCTTTAAAAAAAAAAAGAAAAAGAAAAATGCTCTCCTGCCACTGATCCAGGACTCCAAATGTAACAAAATTCCACCCAACATTGGAAGGGAATACCAACCCAGACACAACTAATGAAAAAGGCTCCAAAAGTACAGTCTCCATATTCTTACATTCTTCTGCTTGTGCTTGAGCCTGGCAAATCCCACTGAGGGGTCAGAAGTACATATTCTGTCCATTCTCCCTTCCTGTCTGTACCACATGCCAAAACTGGATTGACAAGATCAGGATTAGCGTGGTGCTTGCCCATGGATATTCGACAAATCTAGAAACCATTTTTCTCCCCGATGCCCCAAAAATATACTCCCCTCCTCTCTCCTGCTGTAGCTCTTAGCTTAACACATCCATTTCTCTATTTTGTCTCCTAGTCTGTTGCCCAGGAGATCACCTCCTTCATTTCCATACTTAGGACACGGACAAGGGATTGAGGACCACATCCGGGGCTGCTCCAGCCCGAGACAAGGGGGAACAAATGCACTGGCAAGTCCAAGACTGCCATGGTCTCCAGGTAACTCATGGAAACCATCCCCATTAGCCCACAGGGCAGTGAGCCCAGTATGCAGCTTAGCTTCCTTCCTCCCCAAGCTGGTTCCTCATTTCAAGCAGCCAAGCCTCTCTACCTGCAACCTCAGAAGCCCAATTCTCTCACTTCTAATACAACCCACAGCAACCCCCCTGCAGGGCAGCACCACCTCGCTTCTCAAGATACCTAGTACAGGATCATTTCTCTCTGCAGCTCCCCATTTTTTCCAAAGCTTCCAGTTCCTCTTCCCAGCACATCTAAACACAATCACTATGCCCAAAATACACCCCCCTCCCAGAAGCTTCCTTTCATGTTCAACTCCATCTTGTAACAAATCCTATCTTAGCCAGACTCCAACCAACATGCCCACCTACTCCTAGAGTTGAAGCTTCATGTGTCTCTCTTCCTTTATTCCTGGTTTGAAACCCTGGGGCCCTTCTTTTAAAAATACTTCTAAAACTTTTAACATAGAATTCCAAAATGCTTATTATGAAAACCCTAAAATACAAAGAAGCAAAAATTTACAAACAGAAATCACCGACAATCCCTCCCAGGAAGCATTCACTTTGAAATGAAAATGTTTCATTTTGAAACACCCATCTATTTGGTTTTTATGCAAACATGTTTTGTTCTTCCTGAACATGGGAACTTATAGATTTTGCCTTTCTCATGTGGAAAATGTTAAGCTACTAATTAGAATAGATCAAGTGTACAGAGTATTATCTAACACCAACACAATATAATCATCGGGCCCCCTAATTACTCCAACTTTTAAGTACTCCAATTTCTAACAGCAGTTTCTTGTTGAAGTCATTTTTGAATCTTCTGGATACCAGGATACCCCCTTCATTTGGCTCTTCCCCTCAAATGTGGATTTCACCTTCCCCAGGCCTAACACATTCTGCACATATCCCATCAGTGTCCCCCAAACACACACTCACTCTCAAGCTATAAGATTTTGACAGTCTCCAGTGTTCCACACCAGAAGCCCTCAAAGCCTAATAAGGACTCCATCTAATGCCTCTGCCTGAATCCTCACCAACCCTTTGGGAGCCCTGGAAGGCAGTTCTTCCTGTTAAGTTGAAGTAGCCCCAACTTAAAGGAGTTTTTGCCTCCAACACTCTCTTCCCTAGTGATATGCAGGGACACTGGTAAACAGGGCTGTTACTTTCCAGGTGACCCATTCTTAAAAAGTCATCCTCTGGCTGATCAGACTGGTCCCAGGCTCACTTTCAGATGTTTACAACTCCCCCGCCCACCACAAAGGATAGAGACCTAGGAAAAGTTTCTTGAAGGTGGTTGGCACAGAACCTGTTGGTAGGCCATCGCAGGTAAGCCCCTAGCATGAAAGCACCAGACTGTTAAGTAGCAAGAATAAGGCCTGACAGCCCACCATCTAGGCCCCATGCCTTGTCGAGTTCGGGTCTCTTCTGATGACTTCATCCCCATTCAACACTCTTCATCGCACACACACTCTAGCAGACAAACACACACAACCTGCATATCCATGGATGGCCACTGTTACTAAAACACTCTGGACCATCCCTGTTCTTTAAATGAGCAGGCATCAATCCTGGTCTTTATGGAGCCATAACCCACTTTCTGCTCTTGTCAAAATCCTCAAAGGTCCAGTCACAGGTGTGAGAATTACTACATCAGAAAATGGGGTCAGGGGCCTCCCTGGTGGCACAAGGGGTTAAGCACCGCACTATGAAGCAATCCACAGCCTCTGCAGCACAAGTTCAATCCCCGGCCCACCAGAGAAACCCACATTGCACAGCAGACCTCTCCTGTCTTGCCCGTTGCTCCCCTCACTAGTGTATTTCAGTCAGTCTGCCTATTCTGTTCCCCACCCTGTCTCTGGTGAATTCTCTCACCCCCCACATCTCTGGCCTGTACCCCAGCTCTTGTATGCATAAAAAATCTTAAAAAAAAAAAAGAAAAGAAAATGAGGTCAACTCAAGATGAGAGAATGAGTACAGAAAAATGACAGCCTCTTGCCACCAAGTGTGCTGCGCCTTGATTGTTCTTTAGGTGGTGCTATTTAAACTTTACAGCTCCAACAAAGGTGAACTAGAATCTAGCTAAGAGGGCTATTTGGGAAGTTCTCTCTCTCTCTCTCTCTCTCTCTCACACACACACACACACACACACACACACTCATGAAATTAAGAAAACCATTTCTTTGAGTGTAAGACAGGATTCTTTTATTAATTTTTCCTAAACTTGTCTCATGTTTACTGAATGTTTTTCTTAGTGTAAGAATGTGACCTGGAGCTTTAACAAACCAATTTGGATAACAACCTGGATAAATGCTTGTCTGCACAAAAGTCGATTAACACACCCTCTCTGGTCTGGCCTCCATATAAATCCAATTGGTCTTAAAGCCTGTTTAAGCAGAGAGTAAGCAGACCACACCCCCTATTTCTAATTTAAACTTTAAAATTCAAAGTCACTCCCATCCCAACACCCACACCCTCCCCGACACAGAAAATGTTTTTAAAAGAAATGGCCATTAAGAAGAGAGTCCATTGCATAAGAATTGGCTTGATCCTACAGCCAGCACTCCAAAGTAGCCCCTGGCCCCACAGCAGGCCCGCTGGAACTTTGAAGCCTAACAGATAGACCATGGCTATAGGATGCTCTAGAAACAGGGCCAAATCTGGGTGCTGCAAGGTGTCCATGCATGCTTACACACCAACATAAATATGCTTCCATCTTCCTCCTCTCTAAGCAATTGTTTTTCGATAGCACTCTTTAGAGCTCGTAGCACTCAAACATTTTTTTAGTGTAGGGATAGACAGAAACTTATTCTAAATATGCAAGATATAATCTTATTTCTAACGACATAGGCCAAAATTAACAGAGAGGCACTCCGTTATACAGAATAACAATCATTACAAAGATCCAAAATGTAATCAGCAAAGCTTTTAACAGTTTCTAAGGCAGGTCCCAGCACTGGTTTCTAATACAGGTTTTCCAAAACGCCTCCCTCCTGTAACACTGCCCCAAACAACAGTCAAGGGGAATGCTTTGGTGCTGCTGACCTGGCTGCACAGGAAAAATGAGGTGTTGCTATAATGTCAGGCACCAATTTCTTTAACACTAAGTTCAAACTCATCCAGTACAATCCAGTGTATCTTAATTTTGAGTATAATCTGTCAACTGTTTAACACATACAAATTGGCAGATTCATGACAGATATTAACACTTAACACATGATTGTGAATGAGAACTTTTAATTCTTGTCCTAGGACTTCAAGCTTTTAAATCTCAAATATACACAAGAACATCTCTCACCTGAATAGGCAGGCCAGGATACCAATCTTTATACCATAGTTAACAAGAATCAATTCCTCAGTTAAATTTACCATGCCTACACACCCAAAAATTTATCTACCCAATTCTACCTTTCCAAAAAGAAAATTATTTAGACTTTGATGCTTGGGGTATTAGTGAATATACTTTCAGGAACACACTTTCTTAGGAAGAGCCTCCAGGTCTAAAATCCTCAATGAACATCTTGCTCCAGGTGAAGGGGTCTATTTTCCCAAGAGCAGCACATGGCATTTGTAATGAGACCTCCTTTACTGGGGGAAGAGGAGCAGATAGATTGGGGTGGAAGTGTAGTGAAGTAAAATGTGAAGAAGCTCAGAGCATTCCTTGGTGGTTCTACTATGTTAATCCATGCCATGCCATGCTCTAGCCCTCAGAAACAGGAGACCCCACACCCATCCCCACACCCATCCCCACACCAGCAGGGAGTCTCTGTGGCAATCTCCACAACAGATCTTTGAAACACAATTAGAATTCCTGCCATATATATCTTAACAAAAATCTGCTTGATCACTAGTTATAGCGTCTGCTATAGCTCAACTTTCCAAAACAAACTCATCTTTGTAGAAGCATGATTAAACGTAAAGGTGTGAAGCATAAGCTCAGTAAGACTAACTGGGCTTCTAAATAGTACCATTATGAAAAAGATACAATGCACTTAAATTTCTGTATCTAACTATTTAGAAGTCAAAATGCTCCATACATTACCTATATCCCCTCCCCCAAAGTCCCCTAAAAACCGACTAAGAAATCTCCAGTATTTGATTGCTCTAGTTGATATTTAGAACAAAGTTGACAACTTAAAGCTTTATAATAGTTTGTTTTAATATAAACAACTGTTGGAATCAATCAATGTCCATTTCAGGAAGCTTCTTGTCTGAATCCGAAGGCACAGCTGGGTCTGTACCCTGCTCAGCAGCCTGGGGGCCTGGGCTGTCTCCTTGTCCATCCACTGGTCCATTCTGCTCTGCATTTTTTTGCTCCTCTTTTGGAGGTTCCACTTTGGGTTTGGGCTTTGAAATTATAGGGCTACAGAAACTGGTCAGCTCCTAGGATGGTAGGAAAAATTGTGGTTTCTTATAAAAACAATAAATTTTTACAAAACATGCCAAACACTAATCTAGTCTCTTGCATCTAATCCCCAAACTCCCTCCTATGTGTACTTTAGAGACTGTTAATAATAAATAACAAGGCTGATGAGAAAGATTTAAATACCTAAAGCCACAAATTACCTTTATTTTAGCTTCAATCTCTTTTGCCTTGACAACTGGATCCATGGTCAGACTCTGCTTGTTCTGCAGATTCAGCTTGTTATTCATCCAATCCATGGCCTCATTCGTGCTTTTTTCCACCTTCCCCATGTCAGCAGCATCCAAATGCTCATACTGGTCCTCCTGCCACCGATAGTAGACCAAATATCAAAAGAGGATACTCTCCCTCCCAAATACTGTCTATGCTTCTGAGTCTTCCAAAAAGTTACCTCTTTCCAAAAATAAAGTACAGTTAATGTCACAACAGAAACATTCAATTTCTTAAAAATTCAAGAAAGGAAACAACCCCAATTTTTATAACACTCAGGAAATACATTTAAAGGCCAAAAAACATCCATAAGGTGGCAAGTAAAAGGCTTCACAGTATAAATAGTGGCCATACTTCAAATAAAATCTTAAGAAATTTCGTAATGCAAAAAATTACATGTCAACATATCTGATAGCTTGGATTTAAGCATGCTAGTTAAGAACCGAAACAAAAATATCTACAACTTTTTAAAGGAGGAGCCTCAGAAGCAAAACTTTTTTGTAGAAAAGAGACAAGCTCTTCCACTGACAATACTTAAAAGAGCCTGGTTATTACTTAAGGAAAGTTAAGTTTAAAGAGCTAAGATGTTGTATATAAGCTGATACTACCACTTACTTAATACGGATCAAATGAAATAATGTATTTATGGGGTATACATCATACAGTGATCAAAAATTTGGTAAGCAGTTTACGGTTGATTCAGTCCTACACCTGCATAACCAAATTATTTGCTGGGTATGTTCTCAGAAAGACCAGGATAGCACATTGGCTCCTTGCCATTTCCAGTTTTGACACTGCCCACTGAACTCAATTTTTGCTCTAATAAACTCAAAAAAAAATTTTTTAAAGACCAAGATAGAGCAGGTTAGGTGGGAAAAAATAATTTCACAACAAGAAAAAGAAAATGTGTAATAACAGTTCAATTCCAGAGTCCACCTACTAAAGAGAAGTAGCAAAAGCCAGGATTCTTAATGAGATTCTATGAAACACCATACACTACACTAACACCCAAAAAGAAAATAGTAAATATTTTTTAATTTAAAAATATTAAAGGGCATCCCTGGTGGCGCAAGGGGTTAAGAAGTACAGCACTGTGAAGCCATCTGCAGCCTCTGCAGCACAAGTTCGATCCCCAGGCAGCCAGGGAGCTACCCAAATGGCAAAATAGACCTCTCCTGTCTCGCCCGCTGCTTCCCCTCAGCAGTATATTTCAGTCAATCCGCCTGTTCTGCTCCCCACTCTGTCTCTGGTGAATCCTCTCACCCTCCTGGCACCTCTGTCCTGTACCCCAGTTCTTGTATGTATAAATAAGTAAATCTTTAGAATAAAAATATTAAACAAGACATAAAAACTGGTATGCAAATGCTTCAAAACTTTACCAAAATAAGAGTAGGGAAGAGGGAGGGGTAGGGAAAGAAGATACCTTGTTTTTGAAAGAGTTGATTACTTTCATATACTGCTGGATTTGTTTCCCTAGTTCTTCAAATAATTTTGGTCTTTCTTCAGATTCCTGAAATCGTATCTTAATAGGTTGACCTAGATTCTTCAAAGAAGAAACACAAAGTATTCATGTGTCAGCTTCAACTTACCAGAGTAGTATTGTTTTTACTATTTTACTGAGATTGATTATGGAATCAAATACATTTACTCTCCATGTGCTATATATAAGAAATCAAATATTGTTCCAAAGCTCATGAAAATATATTCCATATGGAACCACTTCAATATGTCACTTGAGCCCTCATTCTGAAAACACAGTGGGAAGACAACCAAAACTTACATACACAACACAAAATAGGAAATGCGGTGGCCTGAATAAACTTTTGCAACTGAATCTGGCAAAACCTTTTATCTAAGATCTAACCATCAATTAACCAGTTAATTTTAAGAAACCACAGAGATGAAAATCAGCAAAACCCAGACTGGAAGGAAATCCCACAAGAATAATGATCCAGGTTTTTCACCTACTAACTGGGGAGGGCAAAGAGGGGGGAGAGAACTGATGGAAGAACTACACAGATTTAAGAGACACAGCAACAAAATGTAGAGACCGTATTTGGATCCGGCGTGAAACAAAAAATAATATGTGAAACTGGAACTTGAGAACTGCTGATGTTAATGCTGATATTAAGGAATATTGTTAGGCATGATAATGGTACTGTTTAAGGTTACATTTTCTTGTAAATATTTTTGGATTAAATATAACATGAAGGACTTGCTTCAAACAACTGGGAGGGGAGGAGCAGATAAAATATTGGGCCACAGGTTGACAACAGGTGAAACGATTATTCTACTTTCACATCTGGTATCTCCTATAATAAAAGTGAAACAAAAAACTCAGTGGTAAGGATCTGCACTGGAGATTCTTGCTACTCTTGCCACAAAGGTAATAAATTGCAGGCACTGTCCTTGAGCAAGTGCATTCCAGGTGTCATTCACAATGGCCCCATGTGACAAAGAAACAGAGAAAAATGAGAAAAGTTCTTCTTGTGCATTTATATCCTTTAACAAACAAAAGGCCTCAATTTCGGATGATTCTTCATACATATAACCCTAAGGCTTAATAGATTACATAATTTACCTTATTGAGAATCAAAGCTAAATACATAATAGCACTGCAGTTGCCCTCGGGACAGGGACACAGCTTTCTAGTCTATCTCTTCACACACTGATATACTCAAGTTCCATTTCAATGAAACATTTTAAGTTTAAATTCAGTTTTCAGAAAAATTATTTTGTTGCTATTGCAACAGGGTGGTCCCCAGGAAAGGGGGAGGTTCCCTGCCCCACCCAAGGGAGGGTGGAGCTGAGCAGGAAGAGGAGAAGCTGGAGAAGAGACTGAGGAAGGAAGCAGGATGGAGCCAGGAGACCTGGAGGAGGCGCATGGAGCCTAGAGACACGTGAAGAAACTGCGCTTGTCTTTTGGTCGTGGACTGGGTGACACAGATGTGGGTGAGACCCGTGGGGAGGTGACAATGGCAGCTTTTATCTTGATGTTGATTTTGCTCTTTTCCTTCTGGGCTTGTCTGATTGTTTCTGACCCTTTGCTGTGGGTCCCCACTGGAAGGTGCTTTAGACTCATGGCAGGCCTTGGGGCCTTGCTATGGGCCATTCCCATATGGATGGACTTTTACCCACGAGGGGACGGGTAACTTTGGGTGCTTCACTTAGAAACTAGACTCTTTGCCTTACCTGTATTGTTTCCTAGTTTTATTAAAGTTCCTTCCCATTAAAGTCTCATATGTTTTGTGTTGATGTGGCGGATGGCAGAACCCATTTAGAATAGGCAGGTTTGCGGGGTTTTGGGCTGCCCCTCTCCCTGTCCTATAACACTATGAGGTTCTGAAACATAATGAAACGTGTGTGTTTAAGGGTATAGTTATTTAAGGGTACAGTTATTTAAGGGTTTAGTTATTGCATCACTTTCAACCTGCCTTCATTATATCATATGCAAATTACTGCTCATTTTGAAATATTCTTCTTGGAAACCACAGCATGGGTTCAGGACACTTCTGCTCTCAAGAGTTAACTTACTTTTAATTCGGCCAGTTTATCAACATAAACTTGCTTTGGTTCATCTTCTCCATCTTCATACAACCAATTTTCAGTATCTTCAAGTTTCAAGGTAAAACTGTTACGATCCTAAAAAGGAAGAAAATATTTATTTAGGTCAATCAAACATCAGCTGATTCACCAGTGAAGTCACAAGTACAGGCTATAATTACTGAGATTTGTAATTATAAAATATGGGGAGGAGAGGCAGGGGGACACGGATTTGTGGAAAGAGTGAGCAAACAGGACTAGCAAAATGTCTTGCTTACTAAACTAAGGGGTTTTATTTTACTATTCTCTCTGCAGTAGAGGCTATTTGAATATGATGTCTGAAATTTTCAAAATTAAAAGCTGCTTAAAAATGAATGAGTTAACCATCATGTAAGAGTGAACAGATTTTTCTAAAAAGTACCAGGTAAATTTTTCAGAAGTGACGTACACACAAAAAAGGTGCTACGACAAAGACTACCTTTCAGGAAATACTACACTAGGAAAAAAAAAGCAAAATAAAATGATATAAAACTTTCCCCCAAAAGTATATTTTTAAACATTTTACTGTATACCTACAGATGCAAACTTCCATTCTAACCCATTTAAGGATGCTCCCTGAAAACACAATATGGCCCATACTTACATCTTCATTCACAAACTTCTCATATTCACCACTAAGCTTATCTCTCATCTCATACACATACTCTTCTACTGCATTCTTAGCATCATTCCTCTCCTTCTCCAGTTTATCTTGCATGATCATCTTGCCCTGAGAACAGCATAAATTAATTATAGGAGAGTCCTTCTTCCCCAAATCCTCTTAGTTCGACAAATCACCCAAAAGAAAGTTGAAAGCATTAGCCCTAAGAAAAGGAAAAGAATCTGAGAACTTTAAGAAACTACTAGCTCAAGTCACAAGGTGCTGTGTACTCTGCTGTATTATTACTATAAAATGCCAAGAAAAATCAAACTTATTAATATAAATGCTCAAGGTTCTATAAAACTTATCCTAAGACCCAGTGCATATATAAGAAACTTCACACATTAATGTGTCCCAGGGTCCCAAACCTTATATAATTCACTACAACAAGTGTTACATATTGACTGGTCACAGGCAAGGAACTTAATGATGCGTCTATTAATGCTATGTGATTCTGCCTACCAATCAACTTCCATTGGTCGATCACTTCAAATATCCCAGTAATCTAGTGAAGAAACATACTCACATACCCAAACAGGAATTATACCTCCCCTAAGGACATGACAAAAAAATCTCATAACCGTGCTTCTAGCAATTTATCACCATAAAAGAATTCTGACATTACTGAAGATCTGTTACACTTGCCTTTGCAGCACCCACAAATCTAAGATTATTTTCTCAAACTCCAAACAACCAAAATGTATTAAAAATGTTAGACACAGAGTATAATCACTAACGTCACATTTGTTAACTTATTGTTCAAACAGACATGAAATAACAACCTCATTTTCGATGTACAAGTTGAGCATCTCTCTGTCTATCTGCCATAATAGCTGATTCTCAATTGGCAGATCTACAGTACTGGTCTTCACTTTTGCCTTCTTGGCTTGTGGTGGTTGGTCCATCTTTTTGTCTTTTGATCCAGCTTGAGAAGTCTAAAATAGTAACAGAAATCACAAAAAACAAACACTCACAAAAATATCCTAAATTTCCAAATGGGTCACATTTTGCTTTTTCAGTGAATCAGCATTCTGATGATCTAAATAACCTAGGGCTATTTCTAAAATATCTGGAAAGTTAAAAATACAAATATTATGTGAGTAGTCAAATCCACAGAAAGGAAGGAAGGGGGCTTCCTGGGGCTATGGGAGGAGGAGAAGTGGGGGTAAGAGGGAGTTGTTATTTAATGGGTACAGTGTTTCAGTTTGGCAAGATAAAATGTTGTGGAGATTGGTTGTATCTCCACACTGAACCCAGTGTGTGTGCATGTGTGTTAAAAGAAAAATCGTCCATCATCCCACAAACATATAATCACCTTTAAATCTCTAATTATTTCCCCATTCTTTCCTAAACATAGACGTGTATCATGTGAGTGAAAAATGAGTATGAAACTTTATGCATGGAGGCCTCACTGGTGGTGCAGGGGTTAAAGCGTCAGCGCTATAAAGCTATCACAAGCCACTGTAGCTTAAGTTCGATCCCTGGTCAGGAGCTAACCCGTATGGCACAGCAGACCTCTCCTGACTACCCGCTGCTACCCTCAGCAATGTATTTCAGCAGATTCATCTGTTCTGTTCCCCACTGTCTCTGATGATGAATCCTTTCACCCTGCCTCCCCCACACCTCTGGCCTAGATCCCAGTTCTGGTAGGCAAAAAGAAATAAAATAAATCTTTAAAAAAAGAAAAGACTTGGGCCTCTCCGGTGGCGCAGCGGTTGAGCGCTGGGTTGCGAAGCTGCCCGCAGCCTCTGCAGCGCCAGTTCGATCCCAGCTGCTCCCCGGCCACGGCCGCCGGAGGAGGGTCCCACATGGCGCGCAGACCCCTCCTGCCGCCCGCTGTTCCCCTCAGCAGTGTACTTCAGTCCTTCTGCCTGCTCTGCTCCCCGCTCTGGCTCTGGTGAATTCTCTCACCCTCCCGCGCTTCTGACTGTACCCAGTGCTTGTATGTATAAATAAATAAATAAATCTTTAAAAAAAAAAGACCTGTAGTAGAAGTATTTGTGAGTATGATTTCCTCTCATCATTATTTTCGTTTTTACAATTACTTGCAAAGCTCAAGGAAAGTAATTAAAATTTGTTGACTATCATGAAAATGGACAACAAATTCAATTAAGTTATCTTAGGGCTCTACAGACTTTTAAAATGCCACAATACAAAAAAAAATCAAAGGTGAGATTATACATTATATCATAACTTAAATTTAAACACAAAAACTTGAAAGTTAGAATTAAAAAACAGGCTGTGGATTTAAAAATGTTACGTATTCATTAAGTGCTTGAGATAATTATTACATAATTTACAAACTACATGTAAATACATTATAGCTTAAAACAGTATCTTTTAACAAAAAAATCAAGTGTTACAGCGCTGATAAAATTTGAATTATGTGTCATTCTTTCAACAATAAAAAATTATGGATCGGATGACCATTAGCAAGTATTCACTGCCACTAAAAATCCAGACTCCAATCACAAGCTTAGAAAAACTAGGGTTTCTGGATGCTTTTATGTCCACGCATACCAACTAGAATACAGTTCAAAAACCACCTTGCCAAACATACTTTCCAAACACACTATAAATAAATCTTGCTTAAAAACTGTTCAAATAAAGAATCCCCAATATCCCAACCTCCCAAGACATAGTCAGTCAAAACCACATAGGTGAGATTATAATTCACATTCTAAAACCCAACCTATACCTCCATTTCTTCAGACTCAGCCTTATTTTCTGCTGGCATCTGCTGCTGGTGCTCTTCAACATGTGGCTCCTCCTGGTCCACTTGCATCTTCTGAAAAACAGGTCACATCAAACTCCTGAAACTAGGAAATACTAGTCAAAGACAAAGCAGCCTTATGATACATTGGTAAAAATCACAGAGTATGTAATTCCTGCTGAACACCAGCAATCAAAAGACCTAAACTAAATTTCCAGCTGTGACATGGGGAATTTTCCCTGATGGATCCCAGTTAATACATCTGTTCAATGGAAGTTAACACTTAACCTGCTCTGTATATAAAAATAATGGCTATGGAATTACTTTGTAAACCATAAAGTATAGTGACAGTGTAGTGTGGAAATGTTTAACACAATATAATCTGAAGAATGCACGAATTTCTTAACTACCATGCCTCCTCATGAGTAAATTTTTCTCAACCTTTTCAAGCATTTTTTTTCAACTTTCAAAAGTATGGCTATTGTATGCATAAGGAGATGGTGAACACTGAGAATTCTATTAAAATAACAAAGGCTGATAATAATGAGAAAGAATGGAGAAATTCCTGGATCAGTGGCTTTTGATGCCTACAGCATAACAGAAAGACCTCAGGGGATTTTAAAACTGCCTGGCCCTGCCCCTGCCCCTGCCCAAATTCAAACAAAATCTCTGGGGATGAGACCCAAACATTTGTAGTTTTATAAAGCCTGATTTTGATGCACAAAGAGGACAAGACCCAGCACATGATTCCAACAAATTGGTATAAAAATTGTTGCATCTCTATTTAATTTCTGCATAAAGACTTTTTGCCACCCAGTGGGGAAGGGGATGCATACAAACCAACTCTCCGCAGCTTTCATCACAGTGATCCTTCATTGTCACCAATCTAAAGTAATTTCTACATAAGTCACCACTGGGCCATCATAAAATACTGTGAAATGGTTTCAAATGTCCAGTTACCTCCTCCTCCTTCGAATTCTGATCTGTTTCCATCGGTTCCTCGTTTTCCTCAAATTTGTGCACTTCCACTAGAGATGCACTGGACACACTGAAAATGCCATGGACATTTACTCGAACCTTGACTTTTACTTTTGAACTGGAGCCATCAGACTGAGGAGTGACTTTCTGAACTGAAAACTGAGCTAGGAATATGAGAGACAAAAGAAGACATACAACTCAAGAGGCTGAATCCTAACATACATATATGCCCATGTTGCCAGGTTATGTCCATGTGCCAATGACATAACATGACACTTCAAATAAGCACTCATCAGACCTCTCCTTTCTCTTTCACATAAAATTCTGATTTTGTCCCAACTAAGTAGTAAAACATCTCCCAACCCACCAAACACTTCATATTCTCTTATCCCTTACTCCAATTCATCTTTATATGCACTACCTAAAAAAAAATGTACCCTTAAGTCACATACTCCTCTACTGAAAGGAAAAGATAAAGAACAGTGATTCCATACTGCTTTTGTCATTTATAAGAAATGGCCATTTCTGGATTTACTTATACTAAGGTTTTACTAATGCTTTTTAATTTGCAAAATTCAGCAAACTACAAAATATCACCCTTTTTCCAGTATTACAATTGGGGAAAACACAGTTTCTAAGTGCCATTCAGGATATTCCTGATACTATACCCACATATCCTAAGTTTGTAATTATCTCAAAACTCTAGTTGCTCTCTTCTGAACTACTACTATTTCTAAATCATCAGAATTTCTCTATAAAGATTCCAGTCAACCACAATTTCCTAATGATTTTCTGTGTACATCTTATAACTCTATGTTAGGACATGAGAATTCAACTCCCTACAGTATCTGGCATTGCATTATGCACAAGACATATCCACAATGAGCATTAACCAAGAAATACTGCCCACAGACCAGAAGATCCAGTTAAATAATGACTATCCTACTGGTTCTGAACCTGGTCATTAGATGGAACAGGTTTTTCTTATAAACTAAAATACCCAAATTTCAGAATATTATACTTGCTCCGCTAAGTCCATTTTGCCCAAGAACAAATTCAAAAATAAATTTTTTTTTTAAGTCCCAACTCTTTACTTACCTATAGCAGGATCTGGATAGGGCAAATCCTGAGGAGAGCTATAGTAGGCCTCAAGAGTGAAAGGTTCCTTTCTATAAAATGTGAGTACTTTAGAGAAGGGAGTACAATGATTTTTTGGAAAGACTTCACAGTCACTGAATGGAAAAAAGACAAAAGTACACAATTTCAGGACAGTCCTAATAATTCACTTATTCCCATACAGTCTAGGTTTGCAATTATTGTATAGCACTACTCTTTTCCAAATTATATGTCTCCAAAAAAAATTATAAATATGTGTAATCAGTTAAAAAAAAAGGGAATATATTTCAATAGGCAAATAAAAAGCATCAATTACTTCAGTAGGCTCAAGTACAGGAAACTAAATGAGAACACTAATTTGCTGAAGACTAAAATAAGTATTCATTGTTTCATGTACACTAATAAAATGTTACAGATCTGTAACAATAAATGCTAAAATTGGTGGGAGGGGGAGCGATATTTTACTCAGACTTAACAGCAAGTTAAATTTGAGTATAAAAATGAAATAATAAATGTTATTACCTTGACCCTTCTTCAGCTGGAGAATTCCATCTCAGAGATATTGGATATGGTACTACATCAGTGATAGAAAACTCTCTGACTTTGAAAGCAGGCGATAATATTGCACACTAGAATAATAATTTTATAAAATTCCATTTGACAATTTTAAACATTATGAACATGACACCTGTACTAATTTCAGCTGACCATCATCGATGGCTTTTAAATATTTACATTAATTTAATGGCGTCTGAATAAGGTTTTACAAACTTCTGTCTTTTGTCAAATTACATATATAATCCAGCAATTCACTTTTCCATTAACCACAACCTTTATAACTAAGGTACAATACTACTTCATATATAGACAACAGAAAATATGCCAAATTCTAATAACATTTGAGGCTACCTGTTATTTCTAATAAATTCATTCCATTACATGTTAGAGAGTACAAATTCATTTATGAATGCCACCTCTGATATCATTTTAAAAGAAAAGTTAAGAGAATTTTACACACTGAGATCAACCTAAACTAACCTCTCGCTATTAGTTGGACACATGAGACCACTGTTGTCTTATTACAATGACCTACAAACGGTTATCTATTGAAGTATGGAGACCTACCTGCAATGCACAACCTCGTGTAACAGCTTCATCAGCATTTAGTGTTGTACTAAGTTCTTTACCAAAAAATTTGCTGATCTTTTCTTTGACTGCAGGGATTCGTGTTGCACCACCAACTATCTCCACTGCATAAATATCTTCTTTCTTTAACTCTATTTTAAGGCAATTAGACATTTAGATTTAAACAGTCTTTGGATTAGTATTTTATAATGAAATAAAAGAGCAACATCTTATCACAGTAACTCACAGATGTTTAACAAAACACCATTCTCTCCTTTACTCCTTCAAAAAACACATATGTGTGCACAGGTATATGGCAGCTAAAAACTAGTTGGTATGTTTTCATGCTCAAAATATTGGAGGCAGGGTGGTGTACACAATATTGGGATTTAGGAGAGGAGAGCCAGGACTATTCATTGTTCTATATTGTACAGGTCCTCCAATCTCTGAAACGGTCCCAACACAAACAATTGTTGAAATATCACTAGATAAGCTAGCCATGGAGAATTAACAAAGTCTCAAAAAAGTGGGTTACCCCTGACATGGCATGAATGACGAAGAGCTACTGAGAAGCACATCTAGTTACTCCAGCAATTTATCCAGAAAATTACGACAGAGGTACAGTCTCCTCCTATCAGAAAGGAAATAGAAACCAAAGCTCTGCTGTCACTCATAAAATACCTCAATTCCACCTGATTTTCCAGTCACATATTATGCACAAAATACTGACAATTATTGAGAAAATCAAAGTGTGCGGTCCCATGTAGAAACAATATGCCCACACTGGCCATAATCATTGATTTGAGAGTTGAGCCAATGTCAAGCTGACATTATATCTCAACATTCTGAAATAGCTAACAACCAGTACAACAGTGACTGACTGTCCAAGATTTGGGAGGAAATTAGCAATATATTCCAAAATCAAACTTTCACCTTTTGGCCCCAAGATAAAATTAAAGTATGCTATTTAAGAATGTGGTTATCCTATCTTTAGTTTGCTGTATTTCTGATTCAGCAAACAAAAAGATTCATTGACAGAAAAGTCTACAAAAACTATCAGAGAGCAGCAGTGCTAAAGATAATGCTTCTCACCATGAAATTACTGAGACATTAATATTCATCTGAGCCTGAACTAGGTTTCCCAGGACACTAGTATCAAAAAATGACAAGTGGGGGAGTGCTCCAGGGAGAAGATACCAAAAAAAGGCTTAATACAAGCACTGCAGTAGTTCATAAAGAACAATTTGCGGAACTGAAAAAAAAAAACCCAACAATTTCAGATGCACAAACAATTCAATCTCACAAATACTTACTGGCTTGTTCCAAAACACTCCGAAGCGGTGGCTCCACTCTAAGTAAGAGATCATCACACATTTCCAGAAATTTGCCTCTATTTAAAGAACACAAAATAGGTTAAATCACATTCTACTGTTATAAGGAATAATGTCCATAATAAAAATAATTATTGGCAAGGAGGTAGAGAAAAATGGATCTCTCACACATTTCTGATGGGAGTGTAAAGTAGTGTACCCACTTTGGAAAAGTGTGCAATTCCTCAAAATATTAAAGAGTTACCATATAACCCAGCAATTCCACTCTAGAGAAATGAAAATATTGTCACACAAAAATCTACAATTTTCACAGAAGCATTACTGATAACAGCCAATAAAAAGTGGTAAAAGCCCTAAAATGTCCATCAAGAGTATTTAGCAATAAAAAGGAATAAATTACAATAGCCGACATATATTAGACACAGATCAATTTCTCAAACATTCTAGATAAAAGAAGCCAATCACAAAAGAACATGTCTATTATGACTCCATTTCTAGGAAATGTTCAAAACAAGTAAAGACAGAGAGACTAGTGACTGCCGAGGGCTGAAAGGAAAAAAAAGAGAGGGTACCATGAAAACAGCAATAGCTACCGTTTCTTGTTTTTCTCTTTAATAACTGTTTTATCTTTTAGATCCATTTTTAAGAGCAATAATAGCAAAGTACAGAGAATTCTCATATACCCCTCATCCTCCACCCTGTTCCCCCAATAACATCTTGCATTAGCACAATAATTTTTAACAACTGAGATGCCAATACATAAAATACTAAGTTTCTACCTTTTTTTTTTTTAATTTTTTTTTTTAGATTTATTTATGTATACGAGTACTAGGGTACAGGCCAGAGGTGTGAGAGGATTCACCAAAGAGTGGGAAGCAGAACAAGCAGATCCACTGAAATACACTGCTGATGGGAGCAGGCAGCGCAACAGGAGAGGTCTGCTGTGCCATGTGGCTTGCTCCCTAGCCCACTGGGGACAGGGATCAAACTCATGCTGCAGAGGCGGCCAACAGCTTGATAGTGCTATCTTTAATCCCTGTGCTACCAGGGAGGCCCAGGTTTCTGTTTTAACAAACATGTGATGTAAGTATCTACCAAAACAGCTTCATAAGGAATAGTTTCACTGCCCTAAAGTCTGTGACCCACCTCTTCATCCCTACCTCCCTTGAACCCTTGCACAACAATGGTCAATCTTTTTACTATTAATTTTGCCTTTCCCAGAACGTGATATAGTTGGAATCATACAGCTTGAAGTCTTTACAGAATGATTCTTTTCCTAGAAATATGCATTAAGTTCCTCCAATATCTTTCCCTAACTTGTTAATAGCTCCTTTGGGCTTTCTTTAATAGCTCCTTTGGGCTTTCTTTCTTTCTTCCTTTTTTTAAGATTTTATTTATACAAGAGCTGGGGTACAGGCCAGATGCACGGAAAGGTGAGAGGATTCACCAGAGACAGAGCAGGGAACAGAACAGGCAGACAACCGAAATACACTGCTGAGGGGAGCAGCGGGCGAGACATGAGAGGTCTGCTCGCCATGTGGGCTGCTCCGAGGCCAGTGGGGATAGAACCGGCACTGCAGAGGCTGCAGACAGCTTCACAGCATGGTCTGCCTATTTCACAAGCGCTCAACAGCCTGCGCCACCAGGCAGGCTCTCCTTTGGGGTTTCTTTATGAGATAATGAAAATATTCTAAAAGTGGTTTGTGGTGATGACTACTAACATCAACATAGGTGAGGAGGTACTGCAACAGAAACTTTTACATTTTGGGAGGATTTTTAAATAAGTTTTATTCCTAAAAACAAAAATCAGAAAAGAGCCAGTATGCATCAGCAGAAAATAATAAACCAACAATGGCATACAACAGTCAGCAACACATGGGAGAATCACTGATGTATGCAAGAACTAAATGAATCTCAAGATTTATGATAGCACCAAAAAAAAAAACCCATACCACATCATTTCATTTCTAAGAAGTTCTAGAACAGGAAAATTTAAACTATGATCCTCAAAACTGAAGAAAAAGGGCCTCCCCTGGTGGCACAGTGCTTGAGCGCTGGGCTGCGAAGCTGCCTGCAGCCTCTGCAGCACTGGTTCGATCCCAAGGCACCGGCGAGGGTCCCAAATGGCATGCAGACCCCTCCTGCAGCCCGCTGCTCCCCTCAGCAGTGTACTTCGGTCCTTCTGCCTGCTCTGCTCCCCGCTCTGGCTCTGGTGAATTCTCTCACCCTCCTGCGCTTCTGACTGTACCCAGTGCTTGTATGAATGAATGAACGAATGAATGAACGAATGAATGAACAAATGAATGAATGAATGAATGAAAAACTGAAGAAAAAAATAATCACAACTGTGGCTGCCTGTACAGATGAAGGCTTAAGGAAACTTTTCTATGATAATGGTCTATTTCATGAAAAGGATACTGCTTACAAAGATATATGCGTTTGTCAAAATTCAGCAAATGACACACTTAAAACTTAAAATGAACACTTAAGAAAGTATTTAAAAGGACCTCCCCTGGTGGCACAGCGGTTGAGAGCTGGGCTGCGAAGCTGCCCGCAGCCTCTGCAGCGCCAGTTCAATCCCCGGCTGCAGAGAGGGTTCCACATGTTGTGCAGACCTCTCCTGCAATGCCCGCTGCTCCCCTCAGCAGTGTACTTCGTCAGTCTGCCTGCTCTGCTCTCCGCTCTGGTTCTGGTGAATTCTCTCACCCTCCCGCGCTTCTGACTGTACCCACTGCTTGTATAAATAAATAAATATTTTTTTAATAAAAAATATTTAAAAATGTCAAAAAGGGGGGCCTCCCTGTTGGCACAGGCGGTTGAGTGTGCACTGTGAAGCTGTCTGCAGCCTCTTTAGTGCGGGTTCAATCCCGGCCAGCTGCGGAGATACCCACATGGTGTGGCAGACCTCTCAGGTCTTGCCTGCTGCTCCCCTCAGCAGTGTATTTCGGTCAGTCTGCCTGTTCTGCTCCACACTCTGTCTCTGGTGAATCCTCTCACACATACCCCCCACCTCTAGCCCGTACCCCAGCTCTTGTATGCATAAATAAATAAATCTTTAAAAAAAGTCAAAAAAGGAAAAACTATAAAACATTGAACAGAGCTTAATATGCACACATCAGTATTTTGGACGACATGAAGAGAGAGATGTGTGCAATTTACTTTGAGATGCATCAAAAAGTAAAACTGTTAAGTAAATAGGATGGATAAATGATAAAAGCAAGTACAGTAACTAATATCAGTAAAACCTAAGTGGCGGAGTAAGGGCATTCACTATAAAATTCTTACAATTTTGCTGTGTATTTGAAAATGTTCATAATGAGAAGTGCACAGAGAATTCTACAAAATGGCAGAGGTTTTGGTTTTTTTTTTAAAGTTTTACTGAAATATAATTCACATACCATAGATTTCAGTCAGTTAAAGTATAGAACTCAATGGCTTTCAGTATATTCAGAGTTGACAACCATTACCCTAATGATTTTTAAAATATTTTCATCACCCTACACGGTTATCTCCTAAACCTAATCTACTCTCCAGCCCTACATAACCACTCATTCTGGATATTTCATATAAATAGAATTACACAAGATGTAGTCCTTTCTGAGTGGTATATTTCATTTTGTACTATACAGTATGTAGTCCTGACTAGTATATTTCATCTTGCATAAAATTTTCAAGGTTCATTCACATTACAACATGTAATGGTAACACTTTTAAACCGCCAAATAAGATCCCACTGTATGGACACACCACATTTTGTTTATCCATTTTGCCCACTGGTGGACAATTGGATTGTTTCCATTTTGGGGCTATTATGAGTAATGCTATTACAAACATTCATGCATGAATTTTTGTGTAGACAAGCAATTTTCATTTCTCTTGGAGATACACACACACACACACACACTATATATATATATATATATATATATAGTGTGTGTGTGTAATTGCTAACTCACACAGTAACTCAATGTTTAAACTTCTGAGGAACTGCCAGACTGTTTTTAAAATGGATGCAGGGTTTTAGGTTGCCACAGCTGTGTAGAAGGACTTCCCTATAACCTTGACAACACTTATCTGTATTTTTTTTTTAAAGATTTTATTTATTTATGCATACAAGAGCTTGGGTACAGGTGAGAGATGTGGGGGGTGGGGGGGGGGGTGAGAGGATTCACCAGAGACAGAGTGAGGAACAGAACAGGCAGACTGACAGCAGTACACTGCTGAGGGGAGTAGCGGGCAAGTCAGAAGAGGTCTGCTGCGCCATATGGGTCAGCTCCCTAGCAGGGGATCGAACTCGTGCTGCAGTCACTGCGGATTGCTTCATAGTCCAGTGCTTAACCCCTTGCGCCACCAGGGATCTGTATTTTTGATTACAGCAATCCTGGTGGATGTGAAGTGATCCCATTGTAGTTTTGATTTGCATTTCCCCAACAGTTAATGATGTTAAGCAGCTTCTTATGTCCTTTCTGATTTCTGTATCTACTTTGGAGAACTGTCTTTTCAGATTTTTTGCTGATTTTTTAATTGGGTTGTCATTTTATTACTAAATTATAGGAGTTATTTACATATTCTAGAAAAAACTGAATTTTTATAATCTGTTCACATCTGAGCAAGTAAGCATATAGAGTAACTATCATATCAAAACCGAAAACTCCTAACACCTAGAGTTACCTATTTATGCAAAAATAGGTAACACCGTTATCTCGCCACAAACCCCAAATACAAATGGGTACAGACAAACCACCAATAGTTATAATCCTTGCATGGCATCAGATTTTGTGCAAAAAGAAGCAGTGTGTTTCAGTCAATCTGCCTGTTCTGTTTCCCACTCTGGTGAATCTTCTCACCGCCCCCCCAAAACCTCTGGCCTATATCCCAATTCTTGTACGCATAAATGAATAAATATTTAAAAAAAAAAAGCAGGATCCTGAATGGTCCCTAATTTTTAACTGGAGAACTGCAGTTTTACATAACAAAAATGATGACTTCACTAATTAGCTAGTTATGGCTAATATAAGTGGGGGGGGATCACAATTTAATGTAACATTAAAATATTAAGACAGTTACCTGTTCATAGTTCCAGATACATCAACATCATTCATAAAACACTCGATATTCATGGGAAGGTCTGAAGCATTTGCACTCATCAGTTTCTTGAGTTTCTCACACTCCTGAGATAGTCGTAACAATGCACGGATTTTGGACTTTATGTCTAGCTTGTATTTCTTCCCAAATTCTTCACAGAAGTGATTTACTAACACTTCATCAAATTTTCTGCCTCCCAATGTTGTGTCGAATGCAGTGGCCAAAACCTTAGGGGAAAAGAAGATAATTCAAAAATTAACCAATTTAAAATGCTATCATATTTCAGTGGCAAATTATAATAAAAGGGTTTGAAACAAGACAATGTGCATGTGTCATTTAATAATCAGTGTTACAACAACTGCACAAATACAACTGTAATCTCCAATTTACAGATGATGCTACAGGCCTAAACAGATAATATTAATTTGCAGGTCACAGAGTTAACAAGTAGAAGAAAAATTCAAAATCTCATCTCCTCCATTCCAAAATTTAGCCCTCTCCACTATATTAATCTGACTCCAAACAGCAATTACACAGTCAAATACACTAAAGGCCAAATACACTAAAACATGTCGCTGACATACAGTTATAGGCTTATCACTGTCACAAAACAAGGCCTAGCTATATGCAGCTCATTACTACAAATGATACTAAAGCATGAACTCACAAAATAATTTGTTTCCTATTCAATATAGATGTCAATGTAGAATAGTTTGGGTTCTATATCTTCCAGATCTCCAGATTAGAAGGGTTGGATGGGGATTCTCCTAACTGCCCAGTCTTGTGTCAAAACCCATTCCTGGGATCAGAACTGCTGTTCCCAAGGAAAAGTATTGCCTCCCCACCCCCTCCTATGGTTCCCATGATATGATGCTGTCCCCAAATATTTCTATACAAAGGAACTTGTCCTTTCCCTCTGTTCTACAACACATGAATTAAACCAATATGGGCAAACAAAAACACTACTCCGAATAAAACTGATAGGTAAGTATAATTTCTCCATTTTACAGAAATAGAAAATAAGGTTCAGTGCTCTTTAAGAGCTTTTTCCTCAAGGTCTATGATCTTGGCTGCACACTATGCCAACATTTACTACAATTATTTTGGGCTTTCAAATTCTACTCCACCCCTACATACCTAGTTTCTAGTTTAGATGACTCATAGCAAGTTTCCAATAGTGACCAAAATTCTTTAGCCAATTATTTAATTGCCTCTCATAAATTTCTAATTACCATACACTTGCAATAAAGTCTTTTGGAAAAAATACTTACCTTAAGTTTTCCTCTATTAAACGCACACACAGAAACTTGATAAGCAGAATGCCCCATGTCCACAAAAACTACATTTCTTGGTTTCTCTTCTAAGGCAGGAAGATCTTGCTTATAAATTCCATATGCAAGAGCAACTGCATTTAAAAAAAAAAAGAATTCCAACATTGCTATTATCATTTAAATAGTAAACTTCAAGCTCATTTAAGTTGTGAAAAACAATTTTGTGTGTAGTAAATGGAGCTGCATCCTGTGCTGTATTTTCGAAAGAATCAAATTCTTTATGAGCTTTGCATAATTTATTCATGAAGCACATTAACTCCCAAGAGTTAAATGCTGACATTCACTTAGGTTTCCTGAACACTGCAAACTTCCAATTGCAATGAGTTTGGCAAATTTTTCCAAAACACTTGCCCTACTATACAAATAATGTTTTCCCAGACATCTTCCACCCCTGTGCCAGCTCAACATTCCCACATATCCTAGTCCCTGGGATGTTACTTTACAGCCCGTTTCTCTGACTCTACCAGTCTACAAGTCAGACAAAAGGCAGTTCCCAATACACAAACCATAATGTGATTATATAACAAAGTAACATAGTTATGAAGAAGTACTGATCAGAAGAATTCTATTACACCTAGGTAAATGATTCAATGGGGTGGAAAAAACAGAAAACAAGAAACTGTAGAGTTTACGGATTTCACAACCGTCAAGATTGAGCAAGTCAAAAACTTCGTTTAATGTCTCTCTCACCTGCAGTAGTTTCATTCATTAATCGGAGGCAATTGAGTCCAGCTATCTGTGTTGCATCCATAACCGATCGTCTCTCTGCATCAGTATAGAAACAAGGAACCTAAAGTATTTGGAAGTTTAATGTTATTACAGAAATTCCATACTTAAAAAGCAAAACACAATAAAACTCAGAAACATCCTCAAATACCTATAAAAACATTCTGTATGTGATAACAGAAGACTTTCGAACTAGCAGAGAAAAGTTAGGATAGTTAGTAAGTACTGCTGGAACAAATGGCTAGCCACACAGGATAAAAGAAAGTTGTGCCCTTCCTACACACTTTATACCAAAATATATTTCAAATCAAAGATTTAATATGTTGGGTTTTTTTTTTTAAGTCATTGAATTGAGCCTCCCTGGTGGAGCAAGGGGTTAAGACGCAATCTATGAAGCTATCTGCAGCCACTGCAGCACAAGTCCAATCCCCAGCCAGGGAGCTGCCCACATGGCGCAGCAGACCTCTCCTGTCTCGCCCGCTACTCCCCTCAGCAGTGTATTTCAGTAGATCTGCCTGTTCTGTTCCCCACTCTGTCTCTGGTGAACCCTCTCACCTCCAAACCTCTGGCCTGTACCCCAGCAGTGCTTGTATCCATAAATAAATAAATCTTTAAAAAAAAAAAAAAAAATCATTGAATACCAAAATGGAGATGGAAACTTTACCATCAATGCAGGAAAAATTTTCTAAATATAGAAAGAAAAAGAGGAATAAGGGATTAATACATTTGACTACAAAAAAATTCTGATGATCAAATGGGGGGAAATATTTGCAACTCACATCATAAAAGGGCACAGAGGAAATCTAATAAATAAAGAATTACAAATCAAAATGAAGTCCATAAAACTCAACATGAGCAAAGGATAGGCACTCACAGAAAGAGAAAGACAAAGGGGTTCTTAAATCTTGAAATGTCCGGGCCTCCCTGGTGGCACAAGGGTAAGTTAAAACACAGTGGCTGTCCGCTGCCACTGCAGCTTGGGTTCGATCCGGGCCAGAGAGCTACGCACATGGTGCAGCAGACCTCTCCTGACTTGCCCACTGCTCCCCTCAGCAGTGTATTTCAGTCAATCTGCCTGTTCTGGTCCCCACTCTGGGTGACTCCTCTCACCCCACACATACCTCTGACCCATATATATAAAGAAATCTTTAGGGGGCCTCCCCGGTGGCGCAGCGGTTGAGCGCTGGGTTGCGAAGCTGCCTGCAGCCGATCCCCGGCTGCTCCCCGGCCACCGGAGGAGGGTCCCACATGGTGAGCAGACCTCTCCTGCCGCCCGCTGCTCCCCTCAGCAGTGTACTTCGGTCCTTCTGCCTGCTCTGCTCCCTGCTCTGGTGAATTCACTCACCCTCCCGCGCTTCTGACTGTACCCAGTGCATGTATAAACCAAACAAACAAACAAATAATAAATAAATAAATAAATAAATAAGACATGCCTCTAAAAAATTAAAAAAAAAAAAAGAAAGAAATCTTTAAAAAAAAAAAAAAGAGTTAATTAATTTCCTCAAGAAATGAATTGGATTCCCAAGGCGAAAATTAAAAAAAAAAGAAAAGAAAAAAAATCTTAAAATGTTTAACATCATCTAGTAAAACATTAAAATCACATACACTTTGAAACTATTACCTATTAAAATTAATATACTGTGCCAGTGGAAGAATAAATTCATATAAATTCTTTAAAGGGCAATTAAACAATAGTTGTTAAAATAACATACACATTTGTATTCGTAATTGCATTTCTAGGAATTTAGTGTGTAAACAACAAAAACAGACTGGTTTAACAGATAATGAAGCATACGAAAACTGGAACTCTACAACCATTAAAAGAATGAAGTATTTCTTCCTGTTATGGAGCAACTGCAAAATAAACTGTCTACAACTTATTAAAAGAATAATGAAATAAAGAAGAATCTATATACATACTTGCTTGAGTACACAGTAACCTCTGGAAAGATCTATAACAAAGAGGTAAAACTGGTAACCTCTGAGAAGGAAAAACTACTTAAGTGACAGAAGGTGAAGTTTCCCATACACCCTTTTACACAATTAAGTAATATTTTAACATGGGGGTGGGGGGGGGGATGTTCTTATTACTAACGTTCTTTAAAAAATAAACTTGGGGGCCTCCCCGGTGGCGCAGCGGTTGAGCGCTGGGTTGCGAAGCTGCCCGCAGCCTCTGCAGCACCAGTTCGAACCCCGGCGCGCAGACCTCTCCTGCCACCAGTTGCTCCCCTCAGCAGTGTACTTCGGTCCTTCTGCCTGCTCTGCTCCCTGCTCTGGCTCTGGTGAATTCTCTCACCCTCCCGCCCTTCTGACTGTACCCAGTGCTTGTATAAATAAATAAATAAATCTTAAAAATAAATAAATAAATAGTCTTTTTTTTTTTTTTAAATAATAATAATAAATAAACTTGGGCCTCCCCTGGTGGTACAGCGGTTGAGCGCTGGGTTACGAGGCTGCCCGCAGCCTCTGCAGTGCCAGTTTGATCCCCGGCCACCGGCGAGGGGCATACATACATACATACATAAATGCGTGGATAAATAAATAAATAAATGCATGAATTAATGAATGAATAAATAAATAAATAAATAAATAAATAAGTAAAATAAAAAATAAACTTTATGGGCCTCCCTGGGAGGTTAGGTCTCAGGGCTTTCACCAGTGTGGCCTGAGTTTGATGGCCTGAGTTCAATCCCTGGCCAGGGAGCTAACCCACATGGTGCTGAAGACCTCTCCTGTCTTACACTGCTGGGATGAGCAATGGTCATTTCCATAGATCTGCCTGCCCTGCTCCCCTCTCCACTCTGTCTCTGGTGAATCTTCTCACCCCATCCCAGCACCTCTGATCCACACCCCAGTTCTTGTAGGCATAAATAAATGGGGAAAAAAATTAAAGGCACGGGATAGGGAAAATCTGAGACCATTAGAGATTTGGGAAAAGACAGAAACTATGTAATAAATACCATGACTATAGTGTATCTGAGTTCTTTGAGAAAAACAGTATTTTCATTCTTTGCATGCCCAGAATGCAGAACAGAACAGCCACAATTCAGTTATTACTGATATATGTCAGTTCTATTTTCTATGTAGCCAGGACCAGAACAAAGGAAACTACCAGGTAACAGACCCGGGGGTTTAAAAAAAACACCTAATAGTCCTTGTTTTGCAATCAATACACCAACATTAGTACAAAAGAGACCACAGAGCTAAAATGTAGACAACAACTGAAGAAGAGAGTCATTAGCAAAGCCAATATAGCCACCCAAAATTCAGCAATCCCAAAGAACTCCAACATAAAAAAGCTACAAATAAACAGGCTTCCATCCAATTAAGAATAAAGAAAAGACAACATAAAGTTTATTGCTGCCTTCCTTGGGTGTTAAGACAGAAACAAGAAAGATACAAAGATAAAAATGGAAAAAAAGCATTTGCAACAGACAGTACTCAACTAATTCAACAATTCACAAGTTAGCTGCGTTTCAACTAACAAATAACTACTGTATGCTAAGCATTATGCTAGGTACAGAAAGGAATTCAAGAAGCAAGTTTTGAATTAAGTCTTTAAACAGAATAACAAAGGAGGCCTGAGCAAAAAACCAGGGAGCAGGATAAACTGTTCAAGAAAATGAAGACCAGTTTGCTAAATTCTCATTACAACATGAATAATCATTACAACATGAAGCAAAAAGCAAATTTATTTGCAATTAAGAGCTTCTTTTTCTTCATGCAAGTCATCTGGAGGGATTGAACTCACCGAAACAACACAGTCTACAACAGGCTTCTTCAGAACACTTTCTGCAGTCTCCTTCAGTTTGGACAAAAGCATGGCAGTCACTTGCTCTGTAGTAAAATTTCGCTCTTCCTCCATATATTTCACCTACAATTAAAACAACAAAGATACAGAATTCTTAGAGTTCAAGTCCTAAACACAAACATGAACAAATGGCTCACATCTCAAGAGATCAAAAAAAGACAGCTAATTTTGGTAGTAAATATAACTTAAAGGTCACTTTCAGCTTTTTAACAAGCTTGTCACACACAGTATTTGGAGATAAGGACCATTATGTAAACAGTATGTGTGACCACCAACAAAGTTTAAACAATTATCTGGATCAAAGCCAATTCATATAGCTCACCATGACTCACCTGACCTCTTCAAAAAAGGGACTAGAGATGGAAACTGTCTTACTATTTATTTAACATATTGTGTGTTTTATTTTGTTGCCTTTGTTGACATTACTATCATCTCCCCAATTAGGACTCAATCTAACAAAATTGTTTTTTTTTTTCCTTCAGATTTTTTCAGTTATAGCCCCAACACCTAGGACAGAACTGGCACAATAAAATATTTACTGAATTCAAAAATACGTGATGAATAAAGTCTGTATTTTTGACAAGATTTACAAATTTCAGATGTTGAAAGACTGCTTAAAGTGCCATCCCACATGCCCACACTCCCCAATTATAATCCAGACCAGATAATAACACTCTTAGTTGCTCCAACTCAACTTGAATGCCACCATCTCTTAACTTCCTCACTCCCCATCCAACTACATTTCATTCTGGTTTAGAATTTAACAGTTACTCACTACAGTTCATGATAAACATGGGAAAACACTCCTCCCTTTCTAGTTGCCGCATCCTCCCTGCATGCGTTTAACAACTCTCAATTCTGCCACCTTGTACTTGGTTCCATGTGTTCCCCGTATTCCCTGTGTCTTCTCCCTAGTTGGCTTTTCCTTTGAAGTGAAATGCATGACTAAATCTGCCAAAACCCATCCCATTTCTTTCTTAACCCGAAATATCCCCCCATTCCTTCACCTCATTTTTTTTCCTTTCCCCCTCCCTGCTATCCAGATTTATCCATTACTAGGTCATACAAACTTCTGAGATTAATACCACAGATGTCCTAAGTAAACCCAGTGATCATTCTTCAGCTGTCCCAATTCTTTTTTTTTATACTTTTTTTTTAAAGATTTATTTATTTATACAAGCACTGGGTACAGTCAGAAGCATGGGAGGGTGAGAGAATTCACCAGAGCCAGAGTGGGGAACAGAACAGGCAGACTGACGAAATACACTGCTGAGGGGAGCAGCAGGCATGGCAGAAGAGGTCTGCCCACCATGTGGGACCCTCACCGGTGACCGGGGATCTAACCAGCACTGCAGAGGCTGCTGGCAGCTTCGCAGCCCAGTGCTCAACCACTGCACCACCAGGGGAAGCCCCAGCTGTCCTAATTCTTAACTTCTAAATCCAATTGAATTATCACCTACAGTGGCACAACTACAATGAACTTACCTTTTCCCCACAACCCTTACCATGTGTTCAATCTTGAGCCTGTCCCCATGACCTTCATTTCTCCAACTGTGGTGACTCAATCACCAAATCTCCTCTCTCTAAACTAATTTGCCTGGAAAGCTCAAGCACTCTTCCGGACCCCACCTCCAGGTAGGTATGAGGTAGTTATGTCCACTCTACCCATTCTCATTTCACTATATGCTTCACAAAGACTCTTTTAGATGTCCCAGCTATCAAAGATTAAACTTCCTTTCTCCTAATTTTAAGTCCTTCCTTTCCAATCTAAATTCTACTATTGTCAAAATGATAACCATATAGCTGGCTAGTAAAGTGTTGATTTCTATGCCAGCACTTCCAGAAGTCGTTGCCTTAAAATCACACCAGAAAGACCACTACACATCAGCATATAAAACAAGCAACAATGGGGCCTCCCCTGGTGGCGCAGCGGTTGAGCGCTGGGCTGCGAAGCTGCCTGCGGCCTCTGCAGCACCGGTTCGATCCCTGGCAGCAGGCGAGGGTCCCACATGGCGCGCAGACCTCTCCTGCCGTGCCCACTGCTCCCCTCAGCAGTGTACTTCGTCAGTCTGTTCTGTTTCCTGCTCGGCTTTGGTGAATTCCCTCACCCTCCCTCGCTTCTGACTGTGCCCAGTGCTTGTATAAATAAATAAATCTTTAAAATAAATAAATAAATAAAACAAGCAACAATGGAAATGTTAACCTCAAACCACCACTACCCATGCATTCAATTCACATTACAGTGCCACTTATGGTTCCACTCAAAATCCAGCGCACTCCCCAAAATGACCAATGTTTTTTAACTAGCAAAGGTTTTTCCCAAGTATTTGTAAGCATTTTCATAACTTGAAATCAGGATGGTACTGATATACATTAACCTGAAAAAGCAAAATGCTGTATTTTAATCACAAGGCTTATCTTGAGAACCTTACCTTTATTCCGGTCAATCCAGTGGGCAACTGTACAATATCATATGCAAGGCTGGATTTTTCTGCCTCCACAAATGGATCAGAGAATGCCCGGCCATGGAATCTTTTAAATCCCTGGACTGTGTTCTTTGCATTGGAAATTATCTAAGAGAAAGAATATGAGAGTTAAGGAATGAAAAAATTAAAACTCCACAACATTAAAGAAAAAAAAAATTCAAACACCTCAGATTAAATTTGCATCATTTTAACCCTCAGTTAAAAGTTTCCTTCTGAAGTAGTTTTCTTCAGCACTAAACTTAGCCAGAATCATTCCTGCTTGCATGTGCAATGAGGAGTAAGAGGTCTGAATAGGTCACAAAAAAGCAGGAACTGGAACCAGAGTCCAGCTTGTTCTGCTTCTTCAAGAATACAGATTATTCATTACAATTATTAAAGTTATTTTCTTAAAACTTTTAACATATATAGAAAATGAGTTTTTACTTTAAAAAAAATTACTGTTTGTCAATTCAGAAACTCTAGTGAAATACACAGACAAAAAAAAAAAAAAAAGACACTAAGCACACAAAGATGAATGCAAAAAGATACCGACAGAGTAGTATTTATGCCAATAGCAGACTGGAAATAGTCTGCTCCATCAGTACCAGGGAAAGGGATAAATAAATTGTGACATATCCATTCAGTGAGTGAGACTGTTTTGGGATGTTGGATACAGGAGGTATATATTAATGGCATGATCTCATTTTCTTTTTCTTGGGGGAAACAAGAAGATTTATATGCTTGAAAACAATACAAAGGTTATATATTAAGAAACTAGCAGTGGATTTTAGATAATGGTAGTATGGGTAACTTTGATTTCTGTATTTTCTAATTTCTCTGGAATAAACTAATATATACATATATTTTAAAGTTAGCAAACACATGAAAAAACTCAAGAATAAACATGTTTAAAATTTATAGGCTCCTCTTTCCAAACACAAGAGTGAAGCGTAACAAGCCTCTACAGGAAAAACTGCTGAGCGCCTCTGCATAAGCTATGTCAAAAGGTCCGCACAAAAGTCCTTTTGTGAAACAATAAGGCCTCCAAAGTAAGGCTGCCAAGAAGAAACTCAGTATCACTATAGCTACATCAACTAGAACCAGGCAGTCAGTTTAATACAGTAACTATTCACAACGAAAAAGTTTAAAATCAGGAAGAATTTATAGGAGCTTTAAAGGAAAGCTATTTCGCAATAGTTCTATACTTGCTATCTACTGCTTCCTAAAATATCTTGAGCTTATTGAAAATGAGATTACAAAACACCCAATTTAGTAAAAATCAGTTAGCCAACCATCATTTTCTAGGCTTGTAAGTTTTAGACCTTGCTCCACCTAGAAAGAGTTATTCATTCGACATGTCGCTCCAGGCTGAAGTTTAAAAAGATTAAATATGCCAAGTCCTTCATTTTACACTCAAGGTAAAAGAACTGCTGAGGTTCTGATATTCTGGTCACTCAGAAACCAGCAAACATGCCAGGTTTCTGACTTGCAAATAAACTAGTGACCAGTTTATGTGCTGCATTCCTTTCTGTACTTCATTCCTTAAGCACACTTTCTAGTAGTCACTTTCTCTCAAGTTAAAATAACATTAAATTCAGACACACCACTGAAGAAATTCTAAAAGACAAAGTTCTTCCCAAAGACCATTTCTCTCTTAAGGCAGGAGTCTTCTCTTCCTCCTACTTTAATAATGACTTTATAAACTGATTACCAAGATCAAATCTAGAGACAGTATTGATTCTAAGTATGAGCACAAGGTCAAAAGACAGACTTTAAGGAGCATTTAAAATATCAAGGAACAAGTAAGTTTTGTGTTGTTTTTTCCCAACTGAAAGGGTTGACCATTTTATTTCACATTTCATGATACAAATGAACTTAGCATTTTCTTCTTTTTAATCTTACTTAGTCCCCTCCAAAACTATTCCCTCTCTGATAGGAAGGGGGAGCAAGTATTCTCTGCCACGCTGTTAGAAAACTCCCAGAGTCACAGCACCATTATCTAGTATTGGCAAAGCAGAACAACAGAACTGACAGAAACTGACAGAAAAAGTTCTCTCCTCTCCTTCTCTGTCTGGTCAAGTCACTCCTGGCCAGGTGGGCACCATCATGGGTCGGGCAAGAGGTATCATCATCAGGGTGTCTAGGCATCAATGCTATATGGCCTCCCATAAATGTCAATTCATTCCAGGAGCAGGTCCTACTGGCATCATCCCAGGAGAAAGAGGGCCCATCACTGGCATCATGAGTGGGAGCCCCATAGGGGTGCTGGCATCATATGAGTGTGGAGGACCCAGCAGACTGGGAGAAGATGGAACCACTGGCCCCCACAGGAAGAAGAGCAGAAAATGGAGTAGGAGGAATCTTTCCTTGTTGAAATGCTACAATTGTTTTGTCAATGAGCATGCTCTTCCATCCATTTCTGACAGTAGTCTTTTATGTTCTCTTTGTGTTTCCTACCGCTGCAGGACATCTTTCTCACAGATGGAGTAATGGGTGAGGTATGTACTGCATTAGTCACAATAAAACTTGGGCATGTTGCTCTGCAGGCTGCTGGCCACCCCGGGGAGTCAACCAGAACAAGTAAATATCATCTTGTTTAAATAGTATCTTGCTAGGTAAAATATATCCTAGTAGTCTGATTCAAACAGATTATATTATTTAAGTTCTTTGTTACTCAAACGCATGATTAAGGATCAGATCTCTCAGCTGTACACCCAGGGCTTACCATAATCGGCACTCAAACAGTTGCTGAATGGAATAGAAATAAACCTGAGAAATAATCATTTTAGGAAAAAAACAAAATGCTACCTGGCTTTTAGCTGCTGCTCCAATTGAACGATTCTTAGGACCAAAAGAAATGCAAGCCCTAGAAGACAAAACAAACATTTAAGCATCAAATTTATTTTTTTTTATTTTTTATTGAGGTAACAATGGTTTACAAGACTGTATCTGATTTGGAGGTACAGGTTCACACCTCTTCAGATGTATGTTACCACATTAGAATAACCCTCTACCATAGTCCATTGAATCCCCTTAAACTTATTTTAAAAACAAAATTTATTTTAAAGCATCTATCTTTATTGCAATGTTACAACCAAAACCACAGCAAGCAAGATTTCTGAATCCTAGTTAAAAAACTCATATTTTAGGGCCTCCCCCGTGGCACAGCGGTTGAGCGCTGGGTTGCGAAGCTGCCCGCAGTCTCTGCAGCGCCGGTTTGATCCCCGGCCACCGGGTGAGGGTCCCACATGGTGCGCAGACCTCGCCTGCCGCCCACTGCTCCCCTCAGCAGTGTACTTCGTCACTCTACCTGTTCTGCTCTCCGCCCTGGTGAATTCTCTCACCCTCCCACACCTCTGACTATACCCAGTGCTTGTATAAATAAATAAATAAATAAATCTTTAAAAAAAAAAACCTCATATTTTATAGCCCACAGTATCTGGTATGAGTTGAGTTTTCCATTGAGTTAAACTGTCCACAGCATGTGTACAGCCTCTTAGAATGTAGGGAGTCCTGTCATTTAGTTGTTGAAGTCCAAGGTTAATGTGATGACCATCTGATTAGAATACTACAAAAAGATGAACTAGCCAGTCTCCACCATCCTCGAAAATTCCTAGTGTTCAAAATCCCCATATAAAATAATGTATCCTCAAATCAATGAAATGTTTTTAAAGCAACTCCTGACTGCAAGACAAGTCTACAAACTCCAAAAACTCTTGCCCTATTGTAAGAAATTAAGTAATTCCTTTTAGAACTCCCTTCCTGAACTTAGAATTTCTGACAAAAACTTCATCCCCTCTCAACACTTTCTTCCAAATCACCAATACATACCTGCTAGTTTGATCTACTTGCTTATTTTAGAAAACAAAACTGAAACCTGTTTAAAGGTGTAACTACTTTAAAATACTCCTGAAGTTTAGAAAGTAAGCTATATTATAGTTGAGGCCTTTGCTATTGACACCTATGTCTCCCCAGTTTTTATTCTAATTAATCCCTGTAGAACCCTGCCCAGCGTTCCCTTTACTCTCACATACTTGTCACCTCACTTTCTAGTAGCTACTTTCATTAAAATAAGATCAGCAAAAAAAAATAATAATAAGATCAGGGCCTCTCTGGTGGCGCAAGGGGTTAAGCAACACACTATGAAGCAATCCGCAGCCTCTGCAGCATGAGTTCCATCCCCAGCCAGGGAGTTACCCACTCAGTAAGGCAGACCCCTCTTGTCTCGCCCGCTGCTCCCCTCAGCAGTGTATTTCAGTCAGTCTGCCTGTTCTGTTCCCCACTCTGGTGAATCCTCTCACCCGCCGCATCTCTGGCCTGTACCCCAGCTCTTGGGGTACATAAATAAATCTTTAAAAATAAATTAATAAAATAAGATTAAATTCAGTCACATCACTGAAGAAACCCTAAAAGACAAAGTTCTTCCCAGAGTCCATTTCTCCCTCAAGCCAATAAAGTCTTCTCTTCCTCCTACTTTAATAATGACTGTGTAAACTGCTTAAGTATGCTATCTCATTTAATCCTCATAAGCACCCTAACTCATCCCCAACTTACAGTAGAGGAATCATTTCTCCACACTTTACACTCTAGCTTTTAACCTCTCTATCCTCCCTGGACACTCTAGCTATTCCAATATAACAGCATGAATAAGAATGAAAGACTGGACAGAAGCTCTCCTGCCGACCTGTGACTATGGAGGTGTTTCTCTTCACCAACCTTCTCCCTTTGTAAAGCAGCAATGGAAGCTCTGCTCCCAAGACTCTTAACAAGACTGTCTTTTTCAGGGATAGCTCTTACTGCCCACTTGTGTCTGTATGGACATCCTTGACTTCCCATTTTATAATAAACCTGCCCTTTTGAATATTATAAAAAAGGAATATTGCCTTGGTTCAAGTCTGACTACATTAGACGACCAATTAACTGAGTAGGCTGACATTACTTAAATAAACTTGGAAAGCCAATGCTACTGGCAGAATGCTGGGTCTCTATGTGCCTCAGGGGCCCTTTCCAAACAATAGTTAAGCACTCCCATGACCCAATCTCCTAGAGCACTGCAGGCAGCTGTGCCCTGTATTAGAATGGCACAACCTGGGATTTCAGAAGATTTCCTCTGAATCTTCAGCTCTGTGGACCTAAAATGTTGCTGAGATTATCCCATCAAGAATCATATGTGTTGGGCCTCCCTGATGGCGCAAGGGATAAAGTCAGTGCTGAGTTCAACCCCCAGCCAGGGAGCTAACCCATAAGGCACAGCAGACCTCTCCTGTCTCTCCCACTGCTCCCCTCAGCAGTGGATTTCAGTAGATCCGCCTGTTCTGCCCCCAACTCTCTCTAGTGAATGCTCTCAACCCCACCCCACACACACCCTTCTGGCCAAAACCCCAGTTCTTGCATGCATAAATAAAAATAAATCTTTATTTAAAAACAAAGAAGCATACCTGTCAAGCTCAACCTTTCTATAAGTATTTTCAATAAAATAAAAAAATTCTAAAAAAAATCCTAAGTACCATTTAAATGTCTCACCTATCACAGCTCATACTCCCCCCACCTTTCAAGAAACTGCTTTCAAGTTGTGCCAGCTGATGTAATGACTACCATTCAATTGCCTTTTTTAAAGATTTATTTATTTATGCATACAAGAACTGGGATGTAGGCCAAGAGTGTGGAGGAAGTGAGAGGATTCACCAGAGACATAAAGGGGAGCAGAACAGGCAAATCTACTGAAATACACTGCTGAGGGGAGCAGCAGGTAAGGCAGGAAAGGTCTGCTGCACCATATGGGTCACCTCCTGGCTGGGGATCGAACTCATGAGACAATGGCTGGTAACAGCCCAACAGCACTGTGTCTTTAATCCCTGCACCACAAGGGAGCCCCTCGACTGTCATTTTTAAATGAAAGTAGTTTTAATTCTTCATATGTAGATGACTTTAAAGATGGTTGACTAGATTTTAGAGAGAGTTTGAGAAGCTGAAGCAGAACTTACATAGCATTACTGGTCAGTACATTTTTGTATGAAACTCAGACCAGGGCCTCAATGGAGCGGTAATAGCTAATATGATATTATTCATGATGTGTCAGTCTCTGACACAAACCCTTTGAAGTCTATCAATAAATTACATCTTTATACCAGCTATGAGGTAGGTGCTGTAATTTTCCTTAGTTTAGAGATGAGCAAATTGAATTTCAGAGAGGCTAAGCCAGAGAGAGGTGACACAACTAGAAAAACAGAAGAAGGATTTGGACAGACCCATACTGATTCGAGAGACTGAGCTCTTCTGCACATGTGTTTAAATCAATCAAACTGATGGCAAGGTGCAAACAGTTTAAGAATTCTCTCTATACTACAAAAGGTGGCTATTTATTAAGAATTTTTTTTAGAATGTAAAAACTATATAGACATTACAGTGATGATTTCCTGTAATATGGCAACAGGGATGCTGGGAATATAGATATTTTTTATTCTTTAAAGTTAGTAATTGAGGGCCTCCCCGGTGGCGCAGCGGTTGAGCGCTGGGCTGCGAAGCTGCCCACAGCCTCTGCAGCACAAGTTTGATCCCTGGCCGCCCGGTGAGGGTCCCACATGGCACGCAGACCTCTCCTGCCACCAGCTGCTCCCCTCAGCAGTGTAATTCACTCTGCCTGTTCTGCTCTCTGCTCTCTGCTCTGGCTCTAGTGCTTCTGACTGTACCCAGTGCTTGTATAAATAAATAAATCTTTTTTTAAAAAAAAAAGAGTAATTGAGATGAAGGTTTGAAAATAAGGCTGCAGGAACAATAATGAACGATAAAATGTTGACTCAATTGGGACTGAAGCATCAGGGGATACACATTAGAAATTCAAATCTGGGGGGTTTTAGAAAGACATACGTTTGTCAATCGTTTGGCTTAGGCTAAAAGGCCTACATGGGGTATACAGAGTTAAGATTGCCTTTGTGTGAACTAAAAGTTTACACAAAGAAACCTATTACTTAAATGTGAAGGAAGTCCAGAAAGATGAAGTTGACTATTAGGACCCTAGCTCAGTGTTTTCTAATGTAAGCTCCTTCTAGAAAATTAGAAAACAGAAAAATATAAAGAAGATAAAAATTATCTGTAGTTCCACATCCATCCACTCCATAGGCAGCCATTAGGTAACTGCTCCAAAAATACTAAATCCTAAAATAAGCAGAAGCTACAAATCCCATTCAGTTTGTTTATCCTCAACAGAAACTCAGTGGCTGAATTATGGGTTCTGACATGGAATAAGCAAAACAAGATATTTAAAAGAAGTGTATGTACTACTTCTCACTCTGCATGAACTCCCAAAATTTGCACACTCTATCCAATCTCTATAGGAAAAAACCTGTATTTCAGTCAAGTAAGTCAAGCTCCCTATACCACAGCTTTAATCACTGAAATTTCATATAACAGGCAGTGTGCTAACATTCCATATTGAGTCCCAAATACACTGGAAAAGGACTATTTTACTGACCCAAGGTTTTTTGTTTTTTTTTTTTTAAGATTTATTTATTTATGCATACAAGAACCAGAGTACAGGCCAGAGGTATTGGGGTTGGGGGGGGTGGTGGTAAGAGGATTCACCAGAGACAGAGTGGGAAACAGAAGAGGCAGATCTACTGAAATATACTGCTGAGGGGAGCAGTGGGCAAGTCAGGAGAGGTCTGTTGTGCCATGTGCCTCAGCCATCCTGACTGAGGATCAAACTCATGCTGCAGTGGCTGCAGATATCTTCATAGGTTGCATCTTAACCCCTTGCTCCACCAGGGAGGCCCTGACCTAAGTTTTTAAATGAAGAACTGACTAATATGCCCAAAAATGTAATAAATACTAGAATTCAGGATTCAAAATCAAGACTTTCAGACAATT